CTAAGTTTAAATGCCAAAAGCTAGCACTACTACTGAAACCAATATATATATTATTATTAAAATGTGGAAGAAAACAAAACAAAACAACTGCAGTTAATTTTACTTTTATAACTATTTTTAGAACTTGTTTCCAATAGTTTACTAGCTTTTGCTATTTAAACCAAAATCACATAAACTCCATGCTTTTGAAAGTAACAACAATTTTACAACTTTTTAGCTATGCACAATCTTTTACAAGTTATACTCCATAATCAGATTAACCCTTGGACTAATACAATTTACAACTAAGAATATCTTTTTACTTCACATTGTAAATTATTCTGTATTTGAGTTAAAATGTTTTTCGTTTGACACACAATCAGGGGTTTATAACTACTGAAAATGGCATTTCTAGAATGTTAGTACAATGATTGCAACCATTCAACTCTGTCTTTTTGGGTTTTATTAGTTGTACAATCCTGACTTTCTATAACATAACACAATGTTTTGGGACAACATGGGACCTATTGGTCCATCTCGGCTGCTCCATCCTCTAAACTAAATTAAAATAATTAAAAAAAAATCTTAAAGCCAGCTCTTATCATTTATATACTTATCAAGCTTTTTCTTAAACTCACTTAAATTTACTGTCCCTACAACATCTGAAAGCAACCCATTCCAAAGGCCAACCACCCTGTTAGAAAAATAAAACTGTCTTTGCTGAAGATGACTCCTACCTTGCCAAAATTTATATTTGTCCCCTTGTCCTACTGTTAAATATGAAAAAAAGATGATGCATCAACATTATCAATTCCCTTTACAATCTTAAACACCTCAATCAGATCCCTTCTAACTCTTCTTTTTTCTAGAGAAAACAATTTTAGAGACTTCAACCCCTCCATCCCAGGCACCATTCTAGTAACCCTTCTCTGAACCTTTTCCAACAATTCAATGTATTTCCTAAGGCAAGGAGCCCAAGACTGAACACAATATTCCAAATGTGGCCTAACCAGTGACTTGTACAATGCAATTATAACCTATTTAGACTTATATTGAATATTTCTGTATAT